CAATTGCTATTTAAAGTGTATTTCCCCTTTTGCAGTCAAATTTGAGAAAACCCCATTATATGATTGTTACAGTATGTGTTCTCGTTCCCGCAGCATACATAAAGAAAAATTTAACAAATATATTTCTTACCTTGCATGGCCACAAACCTCATCCCTACTAAGACGTGTGGTTTGCTGTGGAATGTATTTTCCAGCTTTTAAACATACTCTGGCTAAGGATTGGTATGCCTAAAATAAAAATGAGATTTTTCCAATGTTTTGGGTCTGTCTTACAAAGCTTGCATTTTTCATGCACATTCTATTTAGGAACAAAACCACATCTGGGAATGAGCAAATGTCTTTGAGTTTGGTTCACAGGTGATTCGTCTGATTGGTTCATGGAGTGCAGTCTGAAAATGTGAACTTTAAACTGAATCCTATTGAAGTCTATGGAGAGTTGATCTTGATGATCAATTCTGACCATTTTCAAAGCTAATAGGCAAGGGATTATCAAAACGAGCATAGGGAGCTGGGTTCTACCATGGGCTACATGTACCAATGCAAGAATAATTTTAAAAATACCATACAGCAAGGAGAGGGTCCTCCTTTTCATGTGACATTGACAGTGACATGGAAAACACCAATCCTTTCAATTACATACTTGAGTGATGCCTTAAAACTTAATGCCGTGTTACAGAACATTATGATTCTCATAGACACTGCCAGTAACATTGTAGTCTGGCATCACAACATTTCCATGTGTAATTTCTTTGGTTTACTTTTATATCATAAGTGGGCTTAAATATAGTACCAATATTTTTTTAGGTTATTTTGTCTGCTACACCTTTTTTTTTTAATTCAGCTTTAATAGGCCTAAATTGAACCATGGAAATAGCAGCCACAACAGATCTAAAAGCTATAGCTCTTAATAAAAAAAAAAACAGCAAAAGCCCGCAACTTCATACAAATTAACTAGTGACAAAACAGTTTCATAATATAGTCTGCGAGCTTCTTTTTTCGCAGTCTCAGGCTGTATTGTCTTAAAAATGTATTACAATGTCAAAACAGATCCTATCTAATCCCTGTATCCCACAGTATTCCAAATATAGACTTCAGGTAGAAATTGGCTAGTGTCAGAACAATATGCAAGCCCTTGAATTGCCAGCAGAAAGAGGCAAGACAGCTTCATTCTTGTAATAAAAATTAGAATGAGTTATCTGAGAGATGATAGCTGCAAATATTGCACAGTGATTGGTCAGTATGCAAGCAATTTGATGAGGTTGTGATGGAGAGACAAGGAAGGTTTATTTGTAAATAAACATTAGTGTATTATTCCAGAGACAATAGCTACACATATCGTACAGTGGCTGAATGGTATCTAAGCATCCTGTATAGCCACAATGTAGAAGGGAAAGATGAAGCAGATTTTATCCTGAAAATTAGATTGTATTATTTCAAATACTATACCCATACATATTGTACAATGGATGGACTGTATATAAGCTGCTTGTTTAGGCCACAAACTCAGAGGGAGAGACAGGGCAAGGTTTACCCCTAACTACCCTAACCTCCGTCCAACCTGCGTTCTTATCTGCTTTAATGTGGATTGAGAATGGACTGGGACTCAATCATAAAAGTAGTGATTTAAATTGGTTATAAAGGCTCAAGGTTTTTTTACCTTCAAGTATTCTATGTATGAAGGTAAAAAAGCTTCTGTGTACAGCAGCTCCCCCAGCCCCTTCAATACTTACCTGAGCCTCATCACATTCCAGCAATGTGAACGACAGCCGAGACTGTCCCAGGTCTCTGCCTCCTCAATGGCTGAGACAGCAAGCGGGAGGCATTGGCTCCCACTGCTGTCAATCACTGCCAGTCAGCCAATGAGGACAGAGATGTGAACGGACCCATGGAGCAGCAGGTGCCCCCATAGCAATCTGCTTGCTGTGGGGGCACCCAACAGGAGGGAGGGGCCAGGAGATCCTGTGGGGGACCCGAGAGGAGGAGGATCCAGGCTGCTCTGTGCAAAACCACTGCACAGAGAAGGTAAGTATAGCATGTTGGGTATTTAAAAAAAAAAAAAAAAAAAAAGGACCTACAGAATCTCTTTAAAGGCTGTTATAGGTATGTGCAGGCAACTCTAGATGCCTCTACCTTATACCAGCAGCATTTTTTTTTACTTGCTGACAAAGTTTATTTTATATTTCCCTTCAGAACTGAAACAATATTTTCACTTCTTTATGAACTCTAGCAATACAAGAATTTAAACAATAACTTTAAATTAAATTCTCCATGTAAGATAGATAGCTGAATGGAAATAGCTGAATATCTTATTAAAAATAAAGAATTGCAACAATTAACTTTTTATGTAGTCTTTTCAAATGTTTAAGATATAAACTAAAGAAAGTATATTTAACCATATCATGCTTTTGTATTTAAAGAGGTTCTAAAAGTTGCAGGTTTTTTACCTTCATTCATTCTATGTATGAAGGTAAAAAAAACCTTCAGTATGCAGATCCCCCTACAAATCCCCCCCCCCCCCAGCTCAATTGCAATCCAGCGATGTGCACAAGAGTGGCTGCTCTCCCAAGTTTCTGCCTTGTTGGCTGAGAGACAACAGCGGAAGCCATTCACTTTCAATTACAGCCAATGGGGAGAAAGACCAGGGGTGGGGCTGAGCCCTGTTCTGTGTGGCTTATGGACGCACAGAGTGGGGCTTGGGAGTGAGCACGCATGAGCGCCCCCATAGAAAGCTGCTTGTTATGGGAGACACCAGGAGCACTGGCATGGGACCCAAAAAAAGGAGGATTGGGGTGGCTTTGTGCAAAACCATTCAGAGCAGATAAGCAAATAAGCAGATAAGATGTTTGTTTTGTTTTTCTTTTGTTTTTTATTTAACCTTTATTATCACTGTAAGGGTTTATTTTAGGAAGGATGAAGAAACAATTTCTTTAGCTTTGGCCTATAGGCCACAAATTCTGGATGCTTTTTCATCAGTATATCGAAGACTGGAAAACTGAGATGTTGTGTAGCAGTGCAGTACAGCTTAAAAGTGTAAATGGGTAAGTATAAAAAATGTGGTAAAAAAACAACAAGCACATTTATAAAGTTCTACAAAAATGGTAAAAAAAATTACAGGACTGCTATGACTAAAGTATTATGAAACTGAAATTGCCTTTTGCAGTTTTATCAATAGGTAAAGGTGTCTAAAATATATATCCACGAATAGGCAGTGACATTGAACTTTCATTATATTATAAAGAGGTCTAATGTCTCTTAATTAAACATAAGAGAAATCTGAAAAATTTAGAAATTTGAAAACAGAAGTTTAATACATTTTTATAAACAAAATCTAAACTTTCCAATTTGAAGATGCAACATCTGAGTTCAAATTCTTTTCCTCTCGATTTAACCTACATTCAGTACTATCTCAGGCATTTTGCTACAGTGACCTCTGAGGCATTATCAGATAATGCCAAAATAATTAAAGTTTTTCTTGCATCTGCCTTTGCCTGTGAAGTTAAATCCCTCCCACCTGCAGGTGTATGGTGCAGCATCAACAGCTATCAAAAGCCAATTAGTTCGCTGAATGTAGCTGACACAATAGAGGAAACTCCGGGGTTTCTCAGGGCTCCCAAGAGCTATGTGCCAACAGTGAGACTGAAAAGTGGCCTCTTGGTTAAACATTCTTCTCTGGCTTTTTAATATCAGGCATGTCACTCCCAATAACACAAAAATACCTCAAACTTTATTTCTTTTTTTGGATCGTTCTACCTATACACAACGTGATTGAAGGCAAGCGATGGATTCTTTTTAGGTCAGCATTTTTCCTTAACTGAGACACAATAGTGAGTCTGTTTTATAAATGTTTTACTCTAGTATTAACAAATAAAATAGACTTCATTTGTATCTAATCATTTTTTGTTAATGATAAACTATTTGGTATTCTACATTTCAAGGGTGATGTGGAAATTGTACTATATTAATTTGAAAAACCAGCACCAACAAATATCATGGAAATGAAAATAAATGCCACAAAGTGATAAGCCTCTGTAACTTGTGCAAATGATTGAGAAAAAAATCTTAGGCTGATATATGAGGGTTTTTTTTTTTTTTTTTTGCAACAAAAAAGGATTAGCATGTTCATAAGTACAACATTTTTTAAATATTGTACCATTAAAGTATGCAAATTCACCAACTCACACTTGGATTAATCAATATTTTTTTACCCACTAGTTCTGTTTAGTGCAGATTTAACAACTGGAGCATCTATCTTTATTACTGAATTCTGACTACAATGCACATCATTGTGAATTCCAGATTAAAGGAGAAAGGTTTATTAAATCTTTGGTTTCCATTATCTTTACATATTTCAATTCCTTCTTAAAAACATAAACAATATACTAAAGAATGGAATTAGATTAATTATCTAATGATATGTGATCCCCATTATAAATGTACAGTATTTCTATAATACTTTCTATAATACACAGTTTATGTACTACTGCACCTGCGTCTGAATCACAGAACACTTGGAATGCTATGAACATTATAACCAACTTTAAATAACTCATTAGATTGCTTAGTACAGTTTACTTTAAATAACTAATTTTTTGCAGTTAAGATGTTTTCTGCTACTCACATTCATCACAGGGTACTATAATTCAGCTCACATAGTATACTACAGTATAGACATAATATATCTTTATCAGTTTAATTACATTAAAATATAAACAACAACATTTCACCCACAATGTTGTACTGCCAACAATATCATAATTCCTTTCAGCTTTGTGTGATTATTAAACATCTTGGCAAAGTCACTTTCATTTTTCCTCTATAGGCTAAATCTAATCCATATGGCTGAATTTTCAAGGCAAACATGGAAAGAAGAAGAAAGTAGGAACACCACCAGCTATACTGTCTTCTGGCTTTCAGTATACATCCATGGAAATGTCAGGGAACACAGACGTAAATATCATAATGTTTCTAATTTTTTTTCCCAGGGCTGTTAAGTAATTCTGTCATGAAAGAGATGTATACAATGGCAAGACGCAAAGTTTCAATTCGCGAAAGTCTTTTCTCATATGCAAATGTTGGCACCTTTTTGCGGAGCATATCAAAGGCTTCATTGAGGTTGAACATCCTCTTTCTCTCCCTGACATTGGCTGCTTGCCGCTGGGCATAGGTAATTACTCGTTTTCGCTTTGGTCGGCCAATAGGAGAACATAATTTATTTTCTTCCTCGCAGTCGGTTTCCTCCTCAAGAAATCTTGTCAAAGGAGGCCGTTTTTCACTTAACGATATCCCGCTTTCTCCAAATGATGTAAAATCATAAAACCTTTCACAGATATCCCGACTTGGAGATGAAGTTACCATTGTGTTGTAGGGATGATGTTTTTGCCTGTATGAAAATTCCATCACATCTACATCAGCACCAAACAGTGAGCTCTCAGTTACACCTCCTTTGTATTCCATTTTGTAATGTTTCTGGCAAGCAGTCTGTGGTTGATTGAGGCTTTTTCTTGAGATCCTCTTCTTGATATCTTACTTTTGCAAACAACCATCACAGTATAATCATGATGGCAAGCAATAATATTTATATCCGTGAAGGTAACAGGATTAGGCAGAAAAAAGGGACGCAAAAAAAACAGTTTCATCTTAAAGTTGATCGGAATCGACATGCGTAATCTGAGGACACGTGGATAGTCCATAAAAAGAGTATCTTTTTTTAAATCATGTTAAACCGAGGAAGGAAAATGTCTTTTTTAAATAATGGCTCTTAGATGTCACCTGCTGAGCCGTCAGAGCTGATGATCCCAGAACTCTTTAGCAGGAAGGACCAGGCAGTTGCTGCTCTTGTGCTGTGCACTTTAGTAGAGATTTCTCCAATTGATATAGGACAAGTGTACTCTTACTCTTTATGATCTTTTGAAGAGGGGACTTGTCTGCAAAGGAGTCGAATAGAAATGTTTATCTTGTTTCCCAGTGCTGAGTCAGTTGAATGACAGGACCTCCATTAGCCTAAGCAAGCATTGTAGCAAACCCAATATTGCATTCCCAATTGTAACTGTTGGAATCAGCTTTATCCTGCAAATAAGTTTAAATATATTGCCTACCGCGCAGTAAAATATTTACCTTGGTGGTAAATGTAGACTGTTTGTTCAATTACTCATGATTTTTATACACTTTTTTTTTTGAAGGTACAATACACTTTACAAAGTAAGTCATTGACAATGAGAAGAAAAATGCACAGTACAATAAAAGCAAAATGCAATTTCTTACTTTATATCACACTGTTATTTCACTTTGTATTTTTTTTCATTAGGCAAAGGGTACTGTTCTATGTTCAGTAGTCCATAGAAGCTATTGATAATAAACTTAATTTTTCTGGCTTCACTATATCTGACCATACATGTCACAATTTGATGTACAATTTTCTTTAGATCTAGTAACAATTATGTAGCACGAGGGCAAACCTGACCTGATGCAAACTGACTGGACTGTTTGGGTGGGCCCTCACTATACATAGTTTAGTAAATATGAAGGAGATTGTACAGAGATAGTACAATCAGATTGTAACCCGAATAGTCAACTTAACAAAATGAATGATTAAATTAGACATTACACTAGAAACACATATCATTAATGTTTGCATTCACTTAATGTTCACATGAGGGGTCCAATCATGTCCACCTGTCAAATTTTCAGGCAGACCTGATAGGACCCCCCATTCACCCCTATGGATCCCCTATGGTGTAAATGGATTTGTGTCTGTTTACACTCGCCTACCAACAATCCAATTCAGTCCACATAACAAAATGAAAGCGGATCCAACCCCCTCCATCTAGATGGATCTGAGGTCAGTCAGGTGTAAACAGACAGATGAGTCTGTTTACACCCGCCAGGTCCATACAGCAGAGCAGATTCTGTCTGTGTTCGCTCTGCATAAACTGAGCAGACACAAACCTGTCATCGGCCCGCTCTGCTCTGATCAGCAGGGGATCAGCTGACAGATCCCCTGTTGGTCATAATGGAGTCTACCACATTTGAAAGGGGCCTAAAGCGGATCTTCACCTAAAAAGGGAAGTTCCGCTTTCCCCCTCACCGCCACCACCACTTTTGGAGGGTGTTTTCTTTCTGGGAGCCAGGACCTATTTCTGACAGATACCCAATCCAACTTCTGCTCTTCTCATCTAGGTGAGAAAAGCAGATTTTTAGCCTCTCCCCTCTTTGCCTACAACCTCCTGGGACACGTCACAAGTCCCAGGAGGCTGCGGGACCAGTCTGAATATGCAGCACAATCATGCACATTCAGAGTGGGGAGTCAATTGGGGAATGGCAGGAAGTCGCAGCTGGTTTCTCACAAGCAAGATGGAGCACCAGAGACCCAAAGACCATTGAAGAACAGGACCGGGTGAAGACAGCACTAAACTCCTGGAACGGTAAGCTGCTGTTTATTAAACGTCAGTAGCTATAGTATTTGTATTTTTTTTTTATACTAAAGACTGTAGCTCCTCTGTAAGTAAGAACAGTTATGTATTGTATTGTATTGTATGTATGTATGTATGCAAGGAGGTATGTAGCTTAAACAGTAATTCCAATTTCTGTTTATTAATTTTGGATGATTTCTCTATCATGAGTAAATGTAAACAAAAGTTAATAATGCCAATTTACTAAAGGAGTTGACAATCTTCACCTAAGAAACTGAATATTCAATTATCTAATCATATGCAAATTCATCTAATCATTCGTGTGCAAATTCCTGTTTACCTTTTTTCATCCACACATCATTGGGTCTTCAATGTAAACAAGAAATTGCTTTTCTCATGACTGGATGAACAAAGTGAATATTTAATTAATTTACTGACAGAAGATTTTCAACTCCTTTAATACATCAGCCTCACTGCATCAGCTCTGAAATTGTACCCTTCTGGACTTTTTGCTACAACTCTGACAGGGTTCCATCAGAGGCATTGGGGTGGATTTATTAAAGGTGAATTTTGCAAGTGCAGTTGCACTCATTTTCCCCAGAGCTTAGTAAATGAGCAGAAGCTTTGCTGGTTTCCATCCTCCAATCATATGCAAGAAAAAATGGTCTTTTTTTTCTTGCACCTGATTGGGTATGCTTTACAAAGTGAGGAAAATGACTGCAACAGCATTGCAAAGTGCACAGTCTATTTTCCTTTAGTAAATCAAACCCCATTGCTACCTCCTCTACTCTCTGCATCCATGTTCTTTTTGTCTCTCCCCATACTCCTCAATTCTCTTTTAAAATGTCTACTCACTAATATCCACATCCCTTTTCTGTATTCTTCACTGCTTGCAGGACTTTCTTTTGTGCAATGTTTTCTCTTCAGCCCCTCTCTGTCAGGATTTAAACCCCTCAGCTGTGATTCCAGAGCTGCCTACTTTATTCTTATCTGACTGTATTTTATCAGCATGTTGTCTTAATCACAATTTTTCTCAGTGCCACTTGTTCATAGGTTGCATGTCTCTTCATATCCATTCTGTTCTCATCTGTCCTTAGGAAGCCCCAGGCTCAGCAGGGACCTACCATACCAGTGCCACCTAAAATCTCAACTCCCCATTTCAGCTTAGAATCTCCATTTACTAGATATACTAGCAACTTATATGGTGACAATTTATAAAATGTCATCTTTGGTGGTAATATTTGGCAGCTGTACTAGTATCCCATTCAGTTCTCACAGTAAGTGGTGCAATGTTACTGCAAAATCTCTCACATGACATGGTCCCAGCTGATAATTTGCAGAAGACACCAGTAACAAGCTATTTGCTCGTTAAATGATACATTTAGGGTCCATTCACACCAGTTGCACTGACATGCATTGATCAACATACAGTTGCAAAAAAAAGTATGTGAACCCCTTGGGTTTACGTGGAGTTTTGCATGAATTGGGCATAAAATGTGCTCTGAATGTCATCTAAGTCACAACAATAGAAGAACACAGTCTGCTGAACATAATACTACACAAACATTAGATGTTACCATGGTTTAATTGCTCATAACATGTAAACATTCACAGTGCAGGTAGGAAAAAGTATGTGAACCTTTGGATTTAATAACTGGTTGACCCTCCTTTGGCAGCAATAACCTCAACCAAACGTTTCCTGTAGTTGCAGATCAGACCTGCACAACGATCTGGAGTAATTTTGGACCACTCCTCTTCACAAAACTGTTTCAGTGTAGCAATATTCTTGGGATGTCTGGTGTGAATCGCTCTCTTATGGTCATGCCACAGCATTTCAATCGGGTTGAGGTCAGGACTCTGACTGGGCCACTCAAGAAGGCGTATTCTGTGCTGTTGCAGCCATTGTTTTGTTGAATTACTTGTATGCTTTGGGGCATTGTCCTGTTGCATCACCCATCCTCTGCGGAGCTTCAGTTGGCGGACAGATGGTCGTACGTTTTCCTGCAAAATGTCTTGATAAACTCTGGAATTCATTTTCCCATCAATGACAACAATCCGTCCAGGCCCTGAGGCAGCAAAGCAGCCCCAAACCATGATGCTCCCTCCGCCATGTTTTACAGTGGGGATGAGGTTTTGATGTTGGTGTGCTGTGCCTTTTTTTCTCCACACATAGTGTTGTGTGTTCTTCCCAAACAACTCAATCTTGGTTTCATCTGTCCACAGTATATTTTGCCACTAGTGCTGTGGAACATCCAGGTGCTCTTTTGCAAACTTCAAACGTGCTGAAATATTCTTTTTGGACAGCAATGGCTTCCTCCGTGGTGTCCTCCCATGTACTCCATTCTTGTTTAATGTTTTCCTTATTGTAGATGTGTCAACAAAAATGTTAGCATGTGCCAGAGATTTCTGTAGGTCTTTAGCTGACACTCTGGGATTCTTCTTTACCTCATGCAGCATTCTGCGCTGTGCTCTTGCAGTCATTTTTACAGGATGACCACACCTAGGGAGAGTAGCAACAGTGCTAAACTTTCTCCATTTGTAGACAGTCTGTCTTACCATGGACACATGAACATCAAGGCTTTTGGAGATACTTTTGTAACCCTTTCCAGCTTCATGCAAGTCAACAATTCTTGATCGTAGGTCTTCTGAGAGCTCTTTTCTGCGAGGCATGGTTCACATCAGACAGTGCTTCTTGAAACCAGTAAACCCAAAACAGGTGTGTGTTTTTTAAGGGCAGGACAGCTGTCAGCAAC